AGGAGCTTAAATAGGGCTCAAACTATGAAAATAGGGTTTGGGCACTAATCGCGTACGACCAGCATACTCAATTTACCCCCAACATACTAAGGATGGCCTAGTACGCTCGATATACTCCCCTTACGCCCAACGTACGCGGCTAACCCAAAAATCATCCTAACTTCAAACAGTCATAACTTCTTCGTTCCGGCTCTGTTTTCGATGTTCTTTATATGCACGAAAAGGTATTGAAGAGCTCGAAAATAATACATAAATATCTTGAGACTAAAAACTTCTCGAATAAAAATCCATATTTCATACAAGAACCCAACCTATGACTTTTCTCATTCTACCCTTCAGCCCAAAACACAATTCAAAGGCTTAGATCTCATAACCATCTTTGCCCCCTTCCAAAAGGTATAAAAGTTACCTCCTTAAGGCCAAAAGCATTTTCACAATCAACTTTCAGCGCATGGCCCGGAAATAAGCAATGACGGGAAACAGGATGTTACAATTCTCCCCAACTTAAATTAGATTTTTTCCTCAAAATCAGCACTCACTTCCACTTCATGGTGTAACCCTCACATCAACCAAACTAACCAAAAACCCGAAGATTTGATTGGCTCGAAACCTCGTCCGCCAAACACCGTCATGCTAATCTCGCACATAAGTGCACCATCACTACAAGAACCAACTGGTCACATACCAAACTAGGCCATGCTCCTTATTCGCTCTGACAACCCTGCTTAGCTATGTACTAACAACACTCAAGCTTAACCTTGATCTATTAACTGAAAACGACACTCGGGCCTACCCCCCGATCCATTGTCCAACAACAACACTTAGACCAACAAAAATTAACTGATCCTACTAGGTCTTTGGGCTATGAATCAGATCTCTAAGCCCCAATCAAACAAGAATATGCAAGGAAATCCTCATCACATCCCTCAACCTGGACTTCTAACACCCTAGAGTCTAAAGCACAAGCACACCCTACACATGATGCCACAACTAAAACTAATATGACTTGAAGGGAAATCAAACAACTGAAGATGATCTTGATGAGAAGCTGAAAGATTTAACGAATGTGCAGAAGTCTTGAACTTGGAGAAATCTGACTGAGAACCGAACCTTGGCTCAAGGTCTTCCTACTGCGAGGTTCTACCCTCCCCCACTTGAAATTGTTGGATATAGTGTCTAAGTCCATAACTATATTTGGTATATACTTGACCCGACCTGTCATGCTCCATTTGGGTTGCATGGCATCATGCTCTTGGATAGACTAAATGAGAGAAATAAGACACTTATGATTTATTAATATATTATAAGTTCTAATATATTAATAATAAGAATAATAATATTTAGTTAGTATTGATCAATAATTAATTTAGAATTAATTATGTGATCAAAAGAAGACTAATTAAATATATGGGTTGATTGTGTCAATCATCCATAACTTATATAGTGGGCCAAGGCTCCATGGATTATCAAGTTGGGTTAAACTCATAAGATGCTCCATGGATGCTCCATGGGGGGTTACATAACCCATGGGTGATGGAAATGAAAGGTCATGACAATTAGGGTTTACATGGTGTAACCCTAATTGTAACATACTATATAAAGAAGCTATTATTCACCATTTTCGGCCACTAGAGTGAATCAAAGAGGGCTAGCCGAAAATCCAAGTGTTCTTATTCTCTTAGAGTTTATTCCAAGTGTACTTGGTGTTGTGTGAAGCATTTGAGGCATCACACTTGAGGTGCTAGGCTCACAAGGTTTCAAAGGAATCCAAGCTACAAAGAGGTATGTAATTCTTACTAACTATAAGAATAAAAGATCCCCATGTATGCTAGATAGGATTATGAACCTTGGAAAATCATTTTGCATGTATCTTAGTCAAACATAGATCCAAGGTTTCTAGGGTTGCATGTACACCATAGGAGTGTTAGAATGCTCAAAACCAACAGAAATATGCTAGAATTTGACGACTTCATAATCTTTCAATACCATGACTAACCGGAACTCCACCACTTGATCCCAACCACTGATATCCAAATACATAGGAGAATTTGAGCCCACATAACATTCATAAATTCCAATATGCATACAATCGAGGACAAGATAATTAATCCATTCATAACAAGAAATCAAATTCTTATGAGCTAACTAAGATAATTCCATTCAAATGATCATCCAAGATTACAACAAAACTTTGAAAGACAAACCAAAATTGTAGATAAATACCAATACAAAAACAATTGTTGAATAGAAGATCGTCCAACTCAAATCTCAGTCCTCAAGACTCCAATCGTCCCATGACGACCGTCGGGTAACTTCCAAGCCAATGGTGTAGGAGCCAACACCTCACTGAAAACGAAAAAAGGACAAGGAGCTCTGATATGGCCTTCCTGACCTCAATGGAAACAAACTCGCACACTCTACCTAAAATCTCTACTAAAATTTCCCTCCTCGCCACACCTGTGACATACAAAAGATATGCACCTCCCCTCAAATTCTCCCAAACTCCGTCCAGTGGACTTGAACCGTTTAACTACATGTTGGAGTTGAACCAGATCCTGACACTACTCCTTCACCTGCGTCTCTATCTCAATCTCTCATCTCCTCGTAGCACTTGAAGCTCAATGAGGGTTCTCTATTTTTGGGTACACACAAACTGATGAATGTCCGTCTTAAGCATACTTAAATACAGAGTCATCTGATACTGTTCTAAAGCAGCGAACTCAGGACTGAGCCCTCTCAGTGAACATCTTGGTGATCTCCATCACCGACTCGATTGTCTGTCTCATATCCAGGTACTCCTAGCCCAGTATTTCCTTCTCCACCAGGGGAATATATCTCTCACATAACATCTTCGAGAATTGCTCACAAGTCACCACAGCTCTCTGCTTAGGGGTGTAAGCACCAGTCACCATTCTCTACCAATCCTTCACCCCCAACTTGAGAAGGTTTAAGGCACACTTGACCTTCTTGTCATCGGGACAAGAACACGTGAAGAAACAACCCTCTACATCAGATAGCCACCTCATCTCCATAATTGGGTCCTCGACCCCCATCAAACTTTGGGGGCTTCTTATTGTTGAAGTCCCGGTACTGAAAAGCTCTCTCCCTTCAAACCTCTATGAATGCAACAACCACGATAGCTGCAACAACAACAACCTAAGAAAGTGCAACATAGCGGTCGTAAAATAGCTCAATCAGGGCAGTCTTGACCAATCCAAACAACTTTAGAGTAACCTCACTGATCGCCTTAGCCACTTCTGCATCAATGATCCCACAAATCTCCTCCTCACTCGGACCAGCCCTCTCAGTGCTGCCATATCCTAATCCTGAACCTCGAATAGCTTCCATACTAAAAATATATACCAAGTTGTATTGTATGATGAATGAGAATTTTCATCTTTGAAAATTAAGACTAATTCTTTGATCACATGTATATGTGAGTCAATTGAAGGACTAAGGAATTAGGTACACTGGGTGTGCGCTGGTCAAGGTCCACCACAAAGATTGATTTGTCATGATTTAGTAAAGATTAGTAAATATGATTATACTTATGAGGTTAAGTATAATTCTGTAACATTGGAAAGGTTATAATGTATGACAAAACAAATGAGAAGAATCAAATTAGGCAGAAAGATAAAAGTTTCTCAAATCTGAAAGGATGGGAGAGAACTTTAGTATCATATTTCACGATCATCTTAATGATTATGAAACCATATCACAAATTCATACTCTAAGGACGTCTTAGTGCATTGTTATGGCTAAGAAAAGAGGTCATGAATTGTTGGATTGGTTAAAATCAAGAAGATGAGTCATACTTCGTTCCAAAACAATTCTTAGAGTCATACTCCAAGATTGTAACATTGAGTGACATAAAGTAAGGTTTATTAACACTAGTCAAATGTAAGAGTAAAATGTTTCTACCTTGTACATTTGAGATTGGTAAGTTGTGATGTCTTGGATGAGACAAAGACCAACTAAGACCAATTGTGTGAAGTGTTAGTCTTGATAAGAATCCGCACTATCCTTGAATATTTGTTTTGTCAAGGAATGGTTCTTGACTGGGGAAACTTATATGTCAAGGGGACAGTGGGAGCCTTAAAGATCCTGAAAGAGTTTCAAGATTTAATCAAGAGTAAAACCTGTAATTTATCACTAGCACATGACTTAAGGTTTGCAACCTATCGTGTTGACATAATTCTTATTTATGTACCTACTTCAAATAAGTTGAATTTGCATGTGAGTTATCAGAGTTCAACTTGGAAGCATTGGTGGGCCTTGTGCTACCAAGGTGACAAGAAACTAAGATTGAACAAGTTTAATCCATGTAAGGCTGAATTTGTCACTAACCTTATCTTGTGATTATGGTTTTGACAAATTCACATGGATAGGAACTCATACACTATAAAATCTAAGTGTCATAAGGTTTCTCTCCGATTCATGAAAATGATGGTGAGGAAACGCTTTCACTAAGTAGATTTTACGTAGATATCAATTGTGTTATTTGCATTTTCAAAAGTCGTTAGTGGAGCGCGTGTGGTTCACCGGCACACTAACATGGACTTGTGAGAAATGGAAACAGTCTAAACAATTAAGACTATGATTACAGTATCCCTTTTCATAGTTCTGAAAATTGTTTAGACACACATGTGAGCTATCTAAGAAAGGGTGTATGAATCTAAATTTCAGAAGTCCAACAGATTTCTGGAATTTATTGGATATTATCTTTTTTACAGATCATCATTTATTGCGACACCAAGGTGGGACCTCCCAGCTTTAACCACATTGGATCTTCACCATGTCAAACTGTCTAATGATAACGATGGAAGTGGTTTCTTCTCAAAGTGCACCAATTTGAAGAACTTGTCCTTAATTGCATACACATTAATGAAGGGAACCAAAGTTTTGTATATTTGTCTTCCTCGGCTTTCTGATCTTACACTTAAATATATACGTGCAAATATTGAATTAATTGCACCTCAACTAAAGAATCTGACTATTAGATGGTGTGTTGGGAAGCATCTGATTTCTACACCTTGGCTTACCTCAATGTGCATACAAAGTTATATCAACGTTGTCAGCTTTCTTATTCTACACAACCAGGTTTAGGTTTAGGTTTCCCCTGTTTGGAGAAGGTTGACCTCTTTGTGCACTATCCATCCGATGCAGATGTTCATAAAATAGTTTCTCTGCTTCAACACCTCCCTAATGTCAAGCTTCTTACACTTAACTTGGATCTTCTTGAGGTATTGCGCCTTGATTGCAAACACATGGTATTGAAGATGGGGTTAATTAATTTTATAAGAAATTTTGTTTTGTTATATTTGTTGCAGAGTCTTTCATCATCCATGGAACTAATCCCACATCAAGTTTGTGTGTTTGATAACGCAAAGATTTTGAAGTTTACAACAAAAACTCCCGTAAAGGTATACTTAGAGGTAACCAAGTCTACAGATATCAAAAACAATGATGATAGTATACCAAATGCCATCTTCCCAATGATCTCACATGAGGTAATCAAATAATACCAATAAAAATATTGTTTATTGGGTTTTATGAACTCAATTGTTATTGCTCAATTACCAACTTGAAATTCTATAGGAGATTAAAGCTATGTGGGATATGGCATCAGCGCAAGTATTGGTGAAACAATTGAGGGTGTTTCTAAAGGAGTGTAAAGCAAATACAAATAGTAACACCAACAAGGCTCATATGCTTGAATATGGAAAATCACAAGTTGGGAAGCACTACGCATGGGCATTGCAGTTGAACCTTAAGGAAATGATGCTACTGATACAACATGCAGAAATTGTTGCAGCACTAGAGACTTGTCTCATGATGCCTTGGATTAGGCAAAAGTACATTCAAAGATCAGAGACTCCTCCCATCATTGCATGGTTGGAGGAAATGTGTGCAGTGTTTGAGCACATTGAAAGACTGATAACTCAGCTGTCTTGCATCAAAGAGGCTTGTGTTGCAACCAGTTTTTGTTAGTTTGTGTGAAGATGCAACCATTCTCACCAATAATATGTTGGGATGGATAAGGACAGTAAATTAGACTCATTATTATTATTTTTGTTATTATTTCTCATTGTCTAGTTGCAGATAATCAAACGGTAGATTTATTTGGCTTCTATGCATTTAGTAGGTAGGTAAGGAAGAATTCAAGAGCCCTGGAATGATAGTTACATTTTTGTTAAGAACATATTTGGTTGTATGGAATGATTTTAGGGTTGACGTTTGTTTGAGATTCAATGAAAAGCTTGGTTTGTGGGTATTTGTTTTGCCATCTTTTTTACTTGTTTCACCAAAAGACAAAAGTAAATACAAGGAGTATTAATGTTAATGATACTCCTAAATCCTTTTATTTTATTGAATCATGTCATTTTCATGTAGCCTTTCCAGAAAAGTGTTGCATTTGATCTATGTAGTTTTTGCATCACTTTCCTTGTACGAAGCAATAGGTGTTGAAAAAAACTAAAATCGAATGAACGAACAGCTTTTTCATTTTTCAGTTAAACCAAATATCCGAAACCTTATTTGGTTCAGTTTTCGGTTTCTATTTCTACTGGTGGGTTTTTTGAATTAACCGAATTCTAAAATGGTATTTAAACTTCACAACACACACAGGGACTTTTTATCATTCAACCCGGTTTAGGGCAGGTGCAAGAGGGGCAATGGAATAGGGCCCACAAATTTAAAGGGCCCATTTTTTTTAATTCTATTATCGTTCAGCCCAACTTCCCAATCAATTCAACATCATCAGAAGAACTAGGAAACTAGCGACCAACATTAAACTGAAGCCAGCGCCCAGCAGTGATCATTCGATCAATCATCGTTGTGTTTGTATATAAAACGTCCCTCTCTCTCTCTCTGTATATATATATATATATATATATATATATATATATATATATATATATATATATATATATATATATATATATATATATATATATATATCATGGTTGCAGAAATCGGGATTAATCGGCGATTAATCGTTTGGCATTCTCCAACCATCGAGGATTAGGGGATTAATCGGGAATTTAGGATTAATCGGGTTTGATGGGATTAATCGGCCTTGGCGGGATTAATCGGTCAACAAAAGTCAACAAAAGTAAAAAAAATCGAAAAAAGTCAAAAAAAGGTCAAAAAATTTTAAAAAATTCAAAAAACCAACTTTCTTTTTTTACTCCAAAATTTTCAAAATTTCAAATATTATACCAAAATGTTCATATTTTCGTATTTCCAAATTTCCAAATTACAATTTTTCTTATTTTCTAATTTTGAAGTACTTGTTTTTCTTAAGATATATTAATATTTTATTAATAATCTATGGTCCCCGATTAACCCTCGAGTAATCCCCGCCAAGACCGATTAATCCCTTAACACTAGTCGACCGTCGAGCTACCGTCAAACGATTTTTACAACCTTGATATATATATATATATATATATATATATATATATATATATATATATATATATATATATATATATATATATATATACCTTCAAATCAAAATCTCACAAAAGATAAAAACACATATACAGACACAAATGAAAAAAAACCCATTTGAAACTCTCGTTGAAGGCAACATAGAGCTGAGATCTGAAGAGATCTTTTGTTCAGTTTCAATCAAAGACAAACACACGCATCCGGTGCTGATTCGATTCGGGGAAGGAGAAATCGGAAGTAGAAATCGATGGAGGGTGGTGGCAATCGATAGTAAAGGAAGGAGCACCTCCGTTTCTTGTCTAATTCGAAGAAAGGAGAAGGAGAACGGAATCAGGAAAAAAAACACGTACGCATCAAAGATTTTTGGTCCTGTGTTTGATTTCTTGTGTAAAGAACGAGCACCTCCGGTGCCCTCACTAGTTCATAGAGGGAGGAAGAAACGAAAGCATCAATGGCTACTGAAGCAGTTCCTGCACTTTCTGTCTCAGAAAGAAATATGAAGAAGAAGGGTGAGAGGGTACGATGGAAGCAGGACAACAACATTAGTACAAGTGGGTGTTTGGCTGCTATGGAGTCAGCGAAAGAAGAAGAGAAGGTGCAAGGGGGTTGTTGCCTTCTTGTCTGCCGGAAAAACTCCACCTCTAGAGGGGTTTTCTTTGATTGAAATTGAATAGAAAAAATGGAAGAACAAGGGCTGAACTGGATAATGAATTTTGGGGGTGTTTTGTTGCTTTGCTCGAGAGAAAAAGGAAGAAGGAGGGATGAGGGGTTGCTGCTCCTTTGTTACCGGAAAACCACAAGAACATCACCTCTATTGGAGGTCTTTTTGGTTGCCTATCGAAGAGAGAGAGAGAGAGAGGGAGAGGGAGAGAGAGAGAGAGAGATAGAGAGAGAGAGATTATATATATATATATATTAAATAATAATATTTAATTTAAAGAAAAAGAGATAAAACATCATAAATGGTCTCTGTGGTAGTGAAATGACGAAAAAGAAATTAATTAACGGACAAAACTTAACGGAGTTAGGAATAACGACCAATCGTCAAAAGTTTTGAAACCACAAGGACCATCTATGAAGTTTTTAAATCACAGGGACTAAACTTCAGATTTTGGGTAACCACAGGGATCATTTATGATGTTTTTTCTTAAAAAAGGAAGTGTTTAAAGAACAATATTTCAAGTTTATGTGCATAAATGAATAATGATTCAAACCTATTCTTCTTCTAACCAGTTATTTTCAAGCATACCGGATAGTTTATCCTATTTGTCCGCTTTCAATTTAGCACGATATAGTGCTTCTTCTTTGCTTGAACATCCATTACTCTCCAACAAAGACTCTAAGATCAAGCAAATATATAATTTCACAATAGTACTATTTCACAATAATACTGGTTTTGATCAAATGATAAAGATGGCACTTATGTTTTTATAATAAATACAATGAATTAAATCTAAATTCTCTGCATTTAGCCAAAAATATATGAAATTTAATAAAAATAAATAAAATATTATCTAATGTTAAATAAAGAAAATTAATAAAAGATAATAATGATTTGGAAACTAAAATAATCTATTTAATAAAAAAAAAATTTAAAAGTTTATAGATTGTGCGTTTCTTTACTACTCAAGATTGGTTTGTGTCATAAATCCTAACACATATGCAATTTTGATCTTTTAAGGCAGGGAAGTACCAATGTGGGAGCCTGAGATAACACGTGCTATCCCTCAAATTTTTCAAGTAACACTAAGGGTGCGTTTAGTTGCGGAAAAATGGACCGTTTTCAGGAAAAAATTTCCAAGAAAAATGAGAATTTTGAAAACGCGTTTAGTTCGTCTATTTTTCTAAATTTTTCACGGAAAATGAAAATTTTCAGTTTTCTAAAATTACAAAGAAGTTGGAAAATTTTGGAAAACTGATAATCATTGTTTTCCATATTTTTCTAATTCCAAAATTTTTCTATAAAAACACACCCACTCCACCCCATCCACCTCTACCTACCCTCACCTTAACATCCCCACCCCCCCCCCCACACACACATACATACCCACCCCCACACACACCCACCCGCACACACACACACACCAACCCACAAACACACACACATACATACATACCCACTCTCACACACACACACATACATATTCACCCACACACACCCACCCACATACATACATACCCACACACACACACACGGACACACCGACCCGCGCGCACTCACACACACACACACAAACCCACACACACACACATACATACCCACCCACAAACACACACATACATACACACCCACACACCCACCCGCACACACACCAACCCACACACATACACATACATACCCACCCACATACACACCCACCTACAAACACACACACATACATACCCCCCCCCCCACACACACACCCCTACCCGCACACATACACACACACCAACCCACACACATACACATACATACCCACCCACACACACACCACCTACAAACACATACACCCTACCCGCACACGCACAGACACACACACAGACCAACCCCCCCCCCCCCACACACACACATACATACCCACCCATACACACGCACACACACCAACCCACACATACACACATACATACCCACCCACACACACATCCACACACAAACCCACACCTACCCCCACTCTCACCCTTACAGACACACACACCCACACACACACAAACCTACACCTACCCCCACAAACACACACTCGCACCCCCACCACCCAACACCACCACGACAATCACCGACCTACCATCACCACCACCACCACCACCACCGTTGCCGCCACCATCACCACCACTGATACAATTGCCGCCGCCACCACCATCGTCTGTCATCACCACTACTGTCGCCGACCCGCTACCGTCACCACCACCACCCACTCCTTACCACCGCTACCGTTTTTTAAAAATGAAATCCGATAGAAAAATACACATCTAAACACGTTTTCTAATTTTCTAAAACTGAAAATGAAAAATGAATAAGTTTAACTAAACGCGTTTTCTAAATTTTTCAATGAAAAATAAAAACGGAAAACGAAAATCGAAAAGGAAAAACAAAAAATAGAAAATAAAAATTGTTTTTCCGTAACTAAACGCAACCTAATTCTTTCATAATTTTTTATATATATATTAAATTGTTATAAAAAAGAATTAAGCTATCCTTAATTTAAAAATCGAAACACAGAAACACACGTAGTCTAAAATCTTTATATATATCAAAAGTATAAAGCCCAATTAGTTTTAATGAAATAAAAAACAGGCCCACATAACTAATGCTTTGGTGGTGAATAAGTGGGTTTGATAAGCCCATTTCATGCCTCTTAATCTTATGCGGTCAGTGGGTCATAATCATACACATAAATAACGCTGACTGAGACTGAGAAATAAGACGCTCCCCATTCCTTCTTTGTCTCTTTGCCAAAATAAAATAAAAAAATCCCGCCTTCTGGTGGTGAATAAGCGACCACTGACAATCACGCCTAAAAGGCAAGCTTCTGAAATTAAATTTGATCACTCCATTATCATCTGGAAAGCAAGACGACATTATCCATCTCCATCTACCCTCACGAATCCTCTCGTTGATTCCAACCGCGCCTCCTCCAGTCGAAGCTCTAATGGGTTGACAGAAAACAAGTGGAACGAAGTCGAACTCCTAACATCGACAGGTTCGTATTAAGCTTTCATCTGATTCTGTTGAAATCCTACCTTTGATCAAGCTGATTCGTGAAATCGTGGTTTTTGAAATCGGCTTGACGTAAAATCGTGGTTTATTATTTCCATGGGAACAGAGGAAGCTTGTGATTTCTTTGTTAGATACCTAATTGCTTATTTTATATAGTGATGTTAAGAATGAATTAGTTGAGTAATTAACAGAAAGATTTTTTCGATGTTAATTTTCGTAGATTACTTGTGCCTCACGGAGAAAAATCTTGTAATCTTGGATCTTAGCTTTTCTTGGAAGAATTACATACATGGATTTTGGAGCCAAAAAGAAAAGAAAGCATAACAGACGCGATGATAGACTGAGCAGCTTGCCGGATGAACTTATCCATAAAATCTTTTCTTTTATAAGCATCAAAGACGCTATCAGAACGTGTGTCTTGTCATCTGGTTGGAGGTCAATTTGGACTTCCATGCCCTATCTGAATTTCGAAAATCTCAAACGTGGGCCCAGCATCTCGAAATTTATTTTTAATGTCCTGTCTCACCTCGATAACAAAACACATGTTTCTTCGGTCAATCTCGTTCTTGGGAAAAGTGTCAGGGATAATGAATCTGTAAGAAAAATTCTCAACTACGCATTCTCTCACAATGTCCAACAACTCAGTGTTGGACTTGGACATTGTGTTACCCGCTTGCGGGGTGGGAAAATGGTTAAACTCCCATTTTCATTTTCCTCTATTCCAACACCAACATTGGACCCGGACCTCCCACTCCCAACTTTAACAACCTTGCATTTTCACAATGTCAAACTGTCTCATTACAGTGACATTGATCTTTTCTCCAAGTGCACCAACTTGAAGAACCTTTGCTTAACAGGATGCAGAATGGAGAGAACCAATGTGTTAAATATTTGTCATCCTCGACTTTCTAATCTTACACTTGAAAATACACCCCTGGATATGAGTTTTAATGAGGTTGTGAATGTGGTTGCACCTCAACTCAAGAATCTCACTATTAAATGGTGTTAAGGGAAGCATCTGATTTCTGCACCTGAGCTTACCTCCTTAGTCATAGAAGGTTTTCAACCTTGGCAGGTTTCTACACCATCAGGCTTCCATTCTTTGGAGAAGGTTGACCTCTTTATGTATGATCCACACAAAGCAGATGCTCATAGAATAGTTTCTCTGCTTCAACAGCTCTGTAGTGTCAAGCTTCTTAAACTTAACTTGGGGATTCTCCAGGTATATTATATAATATTATATTCCTCCTTCAATGCTTTCAAATAAAAATGGAATTAAACTATATCTAATTTCCTTTTGTATTATTTTCTGTAGCGTCTTTTTTCAGAAACTTGCGTGTTGCCCAACGCAAAGATATTAAAGTTGTCTATCAATGGTCACACGTGAGGTGAGGTATTTATTAATCCTTTTCCTAGTTTATGTAGTACTAAAGTGGATGGAATTTTCATGCAGGATATTACAGCTATGGGGGATATTAGATCAGCACAAGTATTTGTGGTAGACTTTACGCGGTTGCTAAGGCAGTGTAAAGTAAATACAAAAAGGGACAAAGACACTCGTATAGATGAACCACAAGTTGAAATGTTTTGGGCAGGGGAATTGCAATGGAACTTTTGGAGATTGATGGAACTGCTTCAGGATGGGAAAATTGTTAAACTAGAGACTTGTCACATGATGTCACGGATTAGGGTGAGATATAGTAATGGGGGGAGATTAGATATCACATGTCCCATGACTGCATGGATGAAGGAAATGAGGGAATTGTTTGAGCGTGTAGAACGATTGATAACTAAGATGTCTGCATCAAAGAGGGCTGTGTTGCAACCAATTTTTCTTAGTGTTTGTCAAGATGCTGCCATTGTTATGGATAATATGTGTGAATGGATATTGAAGACCGCAAACTCAACTTGACAGACGATGAGATTATAAGTTCCGGTTAAATCAAAAGGGTCATTGAGTTAGAGTGTCATTATTAAATTTTACAAATTACATTAGAAAATTAGATTAGATTGCAATCTTTTAAGCTTAAAGAAATTACTTTTTATAAACATCAATTCTTTTGGCAGCTTGTAGACTATAAAAAAGTCTTTTGCAGATTGCAGATGTTTGGTCTGCCTCTTCTTCTGCAGATGTGGTCTACAGATTGTAAACGTTTTGCCTTTTTAAAAACAAACAATATATTAATATCTATTTTTCTTCTACTACTTCTGCCAAGTCAACACTTCTAGATGATTATTTTCATGGATTAACGTTATGCCCTCACCTGCCCCTTTTGAATTATGTGATCTTATTGATGATTCCAAGAGACATGATCAAGATTTTATTAGTCCTACAAATTCTAAGAGGTGGGTTGATTTTAATGTCGGATTTGTCTGGCTCCGCTATTGGTATTGATTATGATGCAAGTTCTCCGGATCTTGGTGATACAACTCATGAGGATTTGTTTCTTGATCCATTTCAGCGGATGAGATCTAAAAAGGACAACACCGGTTATTATAAATTTTTTTTAAATACTACACAAAACTTTCAGTTCTATAAAAGCCGTGAAAATTGAAAATTGTTTGGTTTAACCACTTAAAAGGATCTTTTTTTGTCCATTTAACCATCAAAAAGTTTGAATTTTTTTCAAAAAAAAAACATAGTTCACTGAAAAACTAATCTTTTGTTATGTTATTTGCAAATAGTAATACTCTTGTACAATAAAAATATTAAAATAGAACAGATTTTTTTTCCTTCACAAAAGAAGGTATATGATAGAACTGTCTCATATTAGACCAACATCACACCATAAGCACAAGTGTAGAAATCAGTCCTTACAAAAAAAAAAAAAAAACAAACAAACAGGAGAATCAGTCGAGCTCAGCTTAAGACCCGAAAATACTAAGCCAAAGCACGTTGTAAATACCAGCTTAGTAGGATCCCGAAAATATTGGACATTTAGTTACTTAACCTAGACTATAAATACATTTGTAAAACACACACAATAGAGACAATTCTCTGACACCTTACTCATTTAGACTCATTTTATCATTTGTAATTGCATTATCAAGCTCATCTCTGTAATTTACGTTCAAATCAATAAGATCATACAAGGCAGGTGATCATTATCACCTCTCAAAGTTTTATGTCGAAGATCCTAGCAAGGATCAAAGGCTTTCCTTGTAAACCTCTTATGTTATTTTGATTTCAATTCCACATTCACATTACTAACAACACCACATCCTCTCATGCAATTTGGTTGATATCCATCTAGTTGATTTTAAAAAAGTTCAAACAACTGCTACGCTAAATCTTAAAAAAATCATAACTTCCTCAAATGAAGTCAGATTTTGACGTTTTTTATATGTACACTCTCGGTTTAAGGACTACTATGACTTTTGTTTAGATCATTAAGACTAAAAAGTAATTTATGAAAAAAATTATTTTTTACGTTACGCAGAGTCGTGCCGGTTTAAATCGTAAAACTTCAACAGATCATAACTTCTTCGTTATAAGTTGGATTTCAACATATTTTATATGTATGAAATCCTTGTGAGACATGTTATAACTTTGGTTAAGATTATTTATTCTAAATAATTTTCTATCAAAAAATAATTTTTAACATTTATTATCTCTAAATTGACTAGCCCGAATCTACATGCGTTACACATGAGTTCGATTCTTAAGGCTTTTTATTAGATAAGACCGATAGGTATGGAGCGGGAAAGGGAACCGCACCTTCGAACACCATACCAGGGGTGAAATTTAGGGGGTTCGGGGAAATGGTAAGGGGAGACTACCCCTCCCTCTCTCTTCTTATCTGATTGGTCAATTTTTTTTTTCAATTTTTTAATATTTATTAAATTATATGTATGATAAAAGATTATAAAAAATATTAAAATTCATCATTTGTTATTCTCTACGAAATAAATATAATAATTATATAAAATATATTTTTCAAAACAATAAAAAAAAAAAGTTAAAGATAGTGAAAGGTAAAAAAAAAAAAAAAAAAAAAGTTAAATAAGAATAATAAAGATAATGAAAGCCGCAATTTTAGGTTTTTTGGTGAGTAAAAAAAATCCGTCGAATTTGCATAAATGGTCATTGTGGTTAACACAATTGACCGGTCTTTATGACAAATTTTGTGCATAGATGGTCCCTATAATTTCAACATCTTGCAATGACACTCTTTTTAGTTAACAATGTTAACTTTTTCAGTTAAGTACCTTGTGAAATGAGACATTTATCCTTCTTATCAGAGGGACCATTTATGTACTTTGTTCCAACAACAGAGACCATTTATATAACTTAGTCAGATATTTATCTTTATTTTTATTTAATTTATTTATATTTCTATGATTTAGATTTTTTGACATGTTGTTCGAATATATTCTTTAATGTTTTTTTTTTATATTTTTCCGTTTACATTTTTTAATATTTTTTTCGTATAATTTTTTCTAATTTTTTGAGATTTTGTTCTAATACATTTATTAATATTTCTTTTGACTTTTTGTTTGAATAATTTCTTCTATTTTTTTTTTTTACTTTTTGTTCGAATATATTTTTTACCGTTTTTTCTTTATATTTTTTTCTTTATTTTATTAAAGATTTCATGATCACTATAATCATAATTCTTAACTTAATTCACTTACAATCATATTTTCATTTTTTTTGTTCATTTATTATTGATAAGGTTTTATAAGTATTATTTTATAATCCAAATATATGTATATAACACATATAAGGTTGTATAATTATTCTATCTATAAAGCTTTTTATAAATATTTTTTGTACAAAAATGTAAAAATTTTGTTAAATGTGAATATAATTAATATAAATTAGGTACACATAGGCAAACCTAAGACTGTCTTGTAGTCTTGACGAGAACAACCATGTCATTACACGTTGGACCTAACTTTAGTCTTTTTGAGTTATTTAATTCTTTTAGACATTTTTTTTGTTTTCGAATATAGAGATTTTGATTAATCTATATATAACTTGACAACAATTTTGGATTCCGATTAGTCTATGTGTTCCGATTAACCTATCTATATTAATCATATTCACATTTAACAAACTTTTTTATATATACTCTTTTAAAAATGTATATAAAAAACTTTACAAAAATAATAATTATACAGTTTTATATGTGTTATATAGTTATATATTTGAATTAAAAAATAATAATTATATAACAATATCTATATTAAAAGAACAGAAAATAGAAAAATATGATTGTAAGTGAATTAAGTAGAATTATGACTATAGTGACCATGAAATTTTTAACAAACATAAACAAAAAAATGTAAAAAAATCATTAAAAAAATATTTGAACAAAACGTCAAAAAGATAGAAAAAAGTTATACAAACAAAATATTAAAAAAAACATCAACAATACATTCGAACAAAACGTCAAAAATAACTCTAAATCATAGAAATATAAATATTTTAAATAAAAAATAAAAATAATAGACAAAATTACATAAATGATCCATGTGGCTAGAACAAATTACATAAATAGTCTTTATGGCATGAAGGACAACTGTGTCATTGTATAAGGGACTTAACTGAAAATGTTAACACCGTAAGCCAAAATGATTTTCTTTGCAAAATTTTGAAACCACAAGGAACATTTATATAATTTTTTCTTTAAAAGCTGAGAATACCCTCCGAGTCGTTTGAAAATTTTCCTAATTGTTGATTTTGCTAACAAAAGCAATTGTTAGTGGAATTATAATATATATATATATATATATATATATATATATATATATATATAGAGAGAGAGAGAGAGAAAGAGAGAGAGAAAGAGAGAGAGAGAGAGAGAAAGAGAGAGAGAGAGAGAGAGGTTCAAATGTTTTTCACATTTATTGTGTGCTAGAATGTACCAATAGAAATTTAGTATTAATTATATGTATATTAAATGCTATCCAAATTTATAACTCATATTTATGGAAACTAATTAAATTTGTCATTAATATCAACAATAATATTATTTCGGAATAAATTTATATGTAGAAGAATGAGAGTATATTCTAGTAGAATACACTCTCGTTTTTCATATTTCATATAACTTTATAGTATTTTAAGTGATTGAGTCTTGAAACAAAGTACGAAGTCATATATGAAAACCTAAATGCAAATTCATTCTGAAAGAATGTTATTGTTGGCATTAACGACCGATTTAATTAGTTTCCATAAAAAGAGAATTATAATTATAGATATCATTTAATATATATATATATATATATATATATATATATATATATATATATATATATATATATATATATATAATATGGAAATCATTTAATATCTATAATTATTTAATTAAATAATTATTTAATTTACTAAATTTCTATTGGTGCATTCTAGCACACAATAAATATAAAAAACAAAATAACCTAGCCCTATATATATATATATATATATATATATATATATATATATATATATATATATATATATATAGTGTTGCAGAAATCGGCCTAGGCGGCCGATTAATCGCCGCCTAGGCGCTAGGCGGACGGCCACCGATTAGGTTTATTGCTAATCGGTCTATGTAATCGGGGTTAGTCAAAGTCGATCCAAGTAGGGGCTAATCGGAGTTAGTCGGAGCTAGGCAGAGCTTGGTGCCTTAATTGGTCAAAGGCGGTCAACAAAAATTCAAGACACTTTAAGGGCAAAATTGTTAAATTGTAATAATTTCTTGCTAGGGTTCGTTCCTTCTTTTCTCATTCTATCTCATACTGCCAACAAAATTCTCTCTCAGAATCATGAACCAAAACCATGAAATGCCTGCATCTTTTCTTCGAATCACACTGGTACGTCGTTGCCTTCCAAGCTTGTTGTCTCATTCTCGACTCAAATCGGTGCTAGTTTGCTCCGAACATCCGCTCCTTCTCCAACGACGCCATCAACTCCTCTAGAATCCCTCATACACCAACCCTCTTAATCTTCGAATGTTCGTTCTCATCCTCATCGATCTGAAATCCTCTGCACCATCACCTCTCTCACTACCTGTAACAACCCACCATCAAAACTCTAACCCTATATCGACTTAATCTAACCGCGATAC